TTTCACAACAAATTGCTACCGGGAATACGGGCGTCGTGAAAGGTCGGACAATATCTTTTATAATAGACCTGCGTTCTACGTTGGTCTTTCGGAACGACGACAGCTCCCAGTAGACATTGTAACTACAATCTCTTCTCCACATACTGGAAACTTACGTTTCTTTATCAAAAAATTACGGTCATATCACTGAAACAATTTTCGCATATGATTGGGGGCTCCCCTCCCTAGAGAAGGGCAAAGGCATAAAGGGTCCGCAATTTTCACGTATGATCGTACATGTCGGTGATTGTTAACGTCGCCTCAGTAATCCAAAGCACCAGCATTTACGTAAAAACGATAAACTGTCGTTTTCTTTTGTAGTCATTCGTGATCTGGTCAGACTCACTTTTCGTGAAGTCTCTGAATTTTTCGATAAAACGGTCTTTAAAACGTGTCCGGATTGTTTTATATACTTTTATCCTTTTAGCGCTTTGGCTTCTTTGGTTATAGCTAAAGGACACCGGTGGCAAAATCCTATATAATCACTGCTCACAGTCGTCTCAGTGCTCCTTCTTTATGGCTCTTCTGGGTGTCAAACCTCAGACCTTCACACCCTGCTAACAGTGTGTCCGCCTTCTGCGACTGCTTATTTGCCAGACTCCAGTCTACCAATTTAGTGATTAGCCCTCACTGACGGCTATCCCAGTATGCGCCAATCATGAGTGCGCCGGTTCATCAACCTCTAGGCATCTTTTTACACAACCTTAGAATTATGTTGGCTACTTTTTCCAGCGAGGAAGCATAAACTTATTTCCACGACGGAAGAGTAAAGACTGCTTGTTTGTCGTGGTACAGGCGTTTGACTTCAGCGGACTGACAGGGCCATAATTAGCATTCTACCACGAAGTCATTCAACATATCACTGGTTTGATGGAGGGTGTGTTAGTTCTACAATTTTACTTTTACTCCTAGCCTGTTCTGGCGGAGTTACTATTGCAGCTAGCCAAATTTTTATTGATTATACCTAATCTTGCCATTGCGGACTCTGTGGGTGAATACCATATTACTTTCCACCACCTTACTAATAAGATTAACGTATAGTATAGGATATGGGCGCTGTTTTAGACTGCTCATTTTTATCAGGCGTTCTTGTTTGTCACTCTTTATCTGAATTTACCTGCGAACATCTGTCAACAGACCATTCACATGCATTCCTTACATGATTTCCCTTAGTCTGAAAGACGTAAGTGAATGCAACTACTTGCTATAAATGCTTATTGAATTTTGACATTTATTATAGTGGCAGCGGCTTGTATAGATTTTTCCAAGGCGAATTGTGTTCTGAGAGTTTTTTTCGTTTATTTATCTTCTTAAACAGTTTAAATATAAACTGCCTATAATACTGAGTAGCTGCGCCCTTTTAAACATAATTTCCCTTGCGGCAACAACAAATATGAAAAAACATTCTGGTATCGTTCCTATGTTAAGGTGGGGTTAGTCCTTACCGGCTTCAGCTGATCATATGTCAGGAATAGACGCTTCCGTCCGGCCTTGCAGCGGAGACTGCATGTGATCAGATAGTCTCTTCGTCTCCCTGCTAGCCTTTCCCTTTTTGTGGCCTAGTCCAGGTCTTTTAGCTGGTATCTAAAATACGGATCTGCATTGTTCCATTTTCTTCTCCAACACATAGGTGCGAATTATGAATGCAAATGAACGGCAACAACAAGAAAGTGTTCGAATATTATATACCTCTGCCTCCAAATTGAAACAGAAGTTGCAAGATCTCCTCGTAACCTTACAAACACAGGTAATTGGACGTTAACCTTCATATTTTGCTGAAGCGCGAAACTTACGACTGGCCGAAATACTTAAACACACTTGGCTTGTGTGCCTCCGAATTGGTTGAAATACGTAAGGTCTTGGAATCTGAGCGTTTTTCACTTGCTCAAGCACTCGTGCTCACACCTGTTCGACTGAATCCCGAACCAGACCCAGCTCTTGCAAAGGCGACAGATGAGCGCTTACCTCGTTTCGACCACGATACCGCTCCACAGTATTTGAGAACGAAACTGGCCCCTCAGGTATTCATTGACTTATTCCCTTTAAACCTTTATATCTGCATCTTACGGGGAAAAATATTTTATAAATGAAAACTAACAACTGCGCTTTATTTACATCTTCCATGTTCTTGAATGGCCTTAACTATCTTGGTGTCTGCGGTTTTCAGGGGCCATATTTTCTACCTGACAGAAACCACTGCCGGAAAGTATATACGAATAACTGGCGTCGCCTCTCGCGTTGGAAGAGGATCTGAGTTTAAATGCCATTTTCGGAGGCCTCAGCAGTCTTTGAAACAAAACTGCACACGGTATGCAGTTGTCAAATTAACAAGGCACCTAGTGCGTGTTAAAATTTCACCAGGTCTCAAGCGTTGGGACTTCTCACATACCTCACTATATCTATATCAATGAGCCCAAAAGCGCATTAGCTCCGGCAGTATGCAATATTTTATTCAAACACGTGCCAAATGTGAGTATCTTAGAAGTAATGACGACACACTAAAATGTTGAATACATTTCTGGTGAGCGCTGCTTCCGAATTCAATATATTATGAGAACCCGTCAAGCCCTGCAAGGAAAACCCCTCGGGCAACCCGTCGAAATTGCATCCCTTCCGCCATCAGTAGTTTTCCACTTTTACTTTCCTTAGCAAACGTCTCTCTGAGTCATCGGTGCTATTGCAGCTTCAGTCACTGTTTAAATTATTATGCCCATACTGACGTCGACCCAACTGGGGAGATTCCGGGTCATAAAGATCCCACAGCCATACTTCTCCTCTTAATGTGAAAACGCGAATTTCCTCCGAAAGCGTAAAGCCTGTTGAGCTGACATGTGAGACGCTGGAGACCCTCAACGGATAAGTTAACTTTTTTTCCATGATGGCGACTGCAACTTCTCCTGCACCCAGCGACGCTACTGTGGAGACCGGTACCGTCTGCAGGAGTCGCAGAGTTAATCATTAGTAATCGGTTTCGCAGGAATATTGTAATTCCGTTTACGCGCTGTCTACTAACACCATCAACGTCGGTGTTATCGCTTTCGTTTGCATTCTATTCTCACGGTTACCTTCTAAGTGCAGTTTTAGATTCCTCCAAGTCCTGATTTAACCTCCCTGTCCCCCCTCCCCCCTTAACTTCACAGGTAGAGTCTCAGCGCATGGCCCAAAATGCCAAAGCCTCTGCTATTCCTCCGGAGCAGGCAACGAAATTGGTTAATTTATCCAATAGGCTGCTTGACTCTGGACTGAAGGAAGTTAACGCCCTAAAACAGGAGCTGGAGACAGACTTGAGCGAGAAGACATTCAAGTCCTCTGTTAATCTGGACGATCTTTTCACACTCGTCGCTGCTATTACAACCGGAGCAAACCTTAGCGGAAAGCCTGCCCCCCAGGACACTTGTAAATGAGGGACCCTATTAACTTTGCCATGTATTGCAATTCTGTACATATGCTTTTGGCCACTTTTTGGAATGCCTTCCTTCAATCATCAACGTTTTCGACTCTACGTGACTTTTGAAATGCATTTGACATTATCTGTTTGGTTCTTAGTCTTTGCTTTAAAAGTATTGTATCCATTCGCTTGAGCAGAAGTTTTTTTAGTTTTCAGAAAGGCCGAGGCTAAATTGTTGCCACCATCCTTTTTCCACCTGATGGTAATTCGGTCGTTTGGCCATCCAGTGAATTATTCGTCGGTGCAATTGTTCAGGTGCTTCCAATGAAAGCGTCACTTCATTCTCTGGCTTAGCACGACCCTCTGTACGCTTAGTGTTCTCAATACACAGGGACCTGCAGACAGGGCGCAACGCACAATTAAGGCTGCGATTTGGTTTTTCTTCGGTCCGAGTGACTCGCTAAATATCCTCCATGGAAATATATCTTGTAACCTAGCTAGACCCAGCTGTAGATGTACTTTTGACGAAATACGTGTCCGTTTGATAAATAGGGATGCGGCTGTCGAGGCATCCCTTCTCACCCAGGCTACTCCTCAGGAATAGGCATTTAGGGGAATTTCAAAGGAAAGCATACGAAAATCGAGACAGATCACTTTGAGTACGCTAATGTAGCAAAACATTTCCTGGGTATCATTTTCCGGTAGTTAATGACGAAGCGGATGTGTTAAGGCGATCTACGGCATAAATTGCCTTTTCTTTGGAGTCCGTTAAGCTGAGAACAAGAGGCACTACTTAGACATTCACGGGGTGACGTAAGCGGAAGGGTTTATGCAGACGGATCAAAGTGCAGCCCCTTGGAAAAACATTACCTCACAACTTCCTCTTTACGAATTACTTTTAGCGCACCATGACAGTAGGGTGGGCCTTAATTTTCTGGTACGCATTTGTGGTTTTTAAGTCTATACAGTAGTCGCCGGCTATTAAGCCCACCTCGGGCCCAGACCAAATTG